CAACAGACCCCAATTCAGGAAACTGAAACATAAAAAAGACAACATCAAGTCCTATAAAATTATTTAGAATAGCTTTTGTGGGGGGGTATTTTTATTGTTGTTGTTGTTTTTTGTTTTGATTTGGGGTTTTTTGTTTGTTTTGTGTTGTTTTGTTTTCATTTTTTCTAAACAGAGAAGCAGCTTACCTGGATAACCTTTTTATTTGGTGCGTTTGCTGACTGCTCCAGAGTTTTGGCTTTCTTCTTTTCCTTTCTTTTTTCCTTATCAGCAAAAGTCCCACGCATTTTAGAGATGATATCAGAGTCTGTTTTTGCATACTGAATACGCTTTTTAAAAGAAAAAAGTAAACAGAGTATATTCTGCAGTTAATAATACTGAATATTTTGCACCACTTTCATTAACTGTGTATTTGCACTTTTTTTTGCAGGAACCTTTTATATTAAAAACATTGTTATAAAGTGTAGGTACACTTACAGAGTAACCAATTCTCATAGTTACTTCTGAACACAATTACAAAAGTCTAAAAAAACCACCCTAATACGGAAGTTACTAACTTTAGCTCATTGAAATCAGAACTCCATTTATCTAACAACATCCTCCTAACATCTGTCAAGGTAGCACCTACAGAGAGATACATTTGAGCTACACAGAGGAGATTTGAGAAAATTTGCACTAGCTTCTATTAAAACTGTGAGTTTTCAATTCCATTTTGGGGAGATAAAATTTGACAGTGATTTTTCAGATCTCTGCAGAAATGTAAATTCAGCAAAACTCAAACTTCTTAAACAGAAAAGACAGTTATCCACCTTAATCCCAACAGGATTGCATAAATGCTGCTGTTCTTTTGACAAAAGCCCCCACAGCTGAAGGTTGAGCGGATGCAGGTATAATTATACCAGTGTGCAACATTGTTGTTCATGAACACAATCCTATTGTTTTTCCTATCAGAGACTACCTTAATACAAAACTACACAGCAGCTTAAGATTTTTTTAATGCTTTTTTTTAGTGCTTAGAGTACACAGGCTGCAGGCAATGTTCAAAGAGGGAAGTACATTTGAAAGCTTATGAAGCCTTAATCTTTTTATTTCTTATTGAGTTGTACTGAGCACAAAACTCCTTAAGGATAAATGCCAGACTGAGCTTGCAAAATTCTGTGGTAAGAATTTAATTAGAGATTCTGAAGGTGTTAAGGCAAATAGCTTGTGGCTCAGCAGCACAACTGCTCTCTTCAGTGCTCAAAGCCATGAGCTGAGAGCCAGCAGTAATGTACCCACCCATTGCTGAAGTCGTGGGCCATTTGCATGTATCATTACACCTCACCAACAGTTGCAGAATTAAGAGATGCCTAATTATCCAAGCAGGCAAGAACAAGGCATGTCAGTTATGCTATCCTGCATGTTATGAAGTACATTACTAAACCATGTTCTATTAGCCAGCACTGTATTTGTTTCACTCTAGCAATACTGAAGTAGCTGCTTGGTTTGGTGATCTACAGTCAAGCAGAACTAGCCATCAATTTAAAAAAAAAAATCACTGGTCACGTCTGGAAAGCAAACTGGAGGTCTTCACCCTCCTCACTGTTACCTCAAAAAGGAAGCATCACATTCTAGCTATTCATTACAAATCTAAGAGTAGTTTATGTTACTCTACATAAAGCAACTGAAAACTAATCTAATTTCAATAATAAAACAGAATTAATTTAACCAGTTCAATGGAAGGCATGATGAGTAAAATGAAAGTATTTAAGATCTTAAAAACTTTAACCCAGCACAGAAAAACATAAAGCCCCCCATTAAGAAATCTGAACATTAAGTTCAGAGTGTGTGTGTTATAACTGCAGTCTCTTCAGCATCCCTCCAGCTTGCACAACACTGTATCACACCATCAGGGCATTTTTTCTTCTTTACAAGGTAACAAAGTAACTTACCATCGGTTTCCCATAAAACGGAAAACCTTGTAGCTGCCTCAAAGCATTGGTAGATGATCCAAGTTCTTTAAATATAACAAATGCCTGTCCTCTCATCTTCATGGTCTTTAAAGCCACAATGTCGACCACATGGCCAAACTGTGAGAATAACGCATACAGGGACCTCTTCAGCTCTGGGGACCAAAGGAGAAAACAAATTTTAACAGGCTACATGCAAATTTTCACTTCTACTGAGTCTTCTATCTTTGGAAACAAGGTTTTTTACAAGCTTTAGTTGACACAGTGAGTACATAAGTTTGTCAAAACTGCTGCATCAGTACAAGTTCATTTGTTCAGGTTTTGTAAGAGGGTGTACAACATTTGGTCTCAAACCTCAGGGATTCAGGTAGGGAAGACATTCTAGTGCCATCCATTCTACCATTCCAAGGGAGTCACAGTTACATAAGGGTATGCAAAATCATATTTTCATACATGTATATACACACACAGTCCCTCACACAATCAAGTATGATGATGACAGCCATCTCAGACCGATCAG